CTAGTTGAATTCTGCAAAAACGAGATTGATAGTTTGTTACAAAAGGGTTTGATAAAACCCTCAAAATCTCCTTGGTCATGTTCTGCCTTTTATGTTAGTAATGCGGCAGAAAAGGAACGAGGTATTCCTCGCTTAGTTATAAATTATAAACCATTAAATAAACATCTAAAATGGATTAGGTATCATATCCCTAATAAAAGGGACTTGCTATCTAGGTTATATGACGCCAATATATTTTCAAAATTTGATTTAAAATCTGGTTATTGGCAAATTCAATATATATATATATATAACAAATCCAATCACTCTTTTTGTAGCTCTATAATGGCAAGAGTACTTGAGAAGAAATCCTTTCTAATGGGGAAAAGAAGTTAACAGTCATTTTATAGGTAAAATTGTAAATTATGTCGTCTGCTCCAATTGTTTGAACGTAGTTCATAGTGTGTAGAGGTAAACTTAATTAATAACTAATAATAAAATGTAAAAATGTGGTTGAATCCTCCAATTTACAATAGTTATACATATTTAGCTTTTCGTTTGTTGAAGGCTACGGAAAATAATAATAATTGATTTAACGCTGAAATTAGTTTAGTTATTCTTTTGGAGTAAGAACTTATGACAAACTTGATTTGGAGGAATAAATGTTCGTCTTCTCAAGCCATCTGGTGATATTCTACTGCACGTCCATCTTTCCCTAACGGAATATGTTTTCTTCTTTTCATTCTTCTTTTGCACCTTTCAATGTGTGCTTTGATTGGCATTTAAATTATTTTCTTCTTATCACCATGATATCATAGTTCATTTTATCGAATTCTGAAAAGTAAAAATTAAATTAAAAAAAAAAAAGAATCCAATCTCGGCCATATCGTCAGTGAATGAATGAAATTTGCAATCTCCTTCAACTTCTCATTTTCTTTCCTTCTCTTGATTTTTTCCTTCGTTTCCCCATTTCTTTTCTCCTTATTTTTTCTTTTCTCATTCCATTTCTTTCTTCTCTTTGCTTCTTTCCCTTCTTATAATTCTTAAGCAAAAGCGGAAAGCTTAATAATCTGCCTTCCTTCCTTCTGGCGATGTGATGCGAATATCCAGTACTGTTTGTTCATGATTTCACTTTTTCGTATGAATGAACATAAAATTTACATGTTATGAAGAAAAAAAGAACTTACAGATAGAAAAGGAAGTAATAGTGATGGAGAGATTTCAGAATGCGGAAATCACCCTTGAAATGACAATGTCTTAAAACTATTTCCCGATTTCCCTGAGAACTTGTGACTGTCACTTAATCTCTATAACACGAGTAATGTATGTTGCTAAAGATGAATGATTCACACAGCGGGAAGGCTGAGAAAGCATAAGGATCTGTAGGTTTTTCGTCCTTAAATAAAGTCATATTGAAAGGTTGCAACGGTAGTATTAGGCATGAATGATTACCTGAATAGTTTTTCTCCATAAATAAAGAATCTGAAAGGTTGCAATGGTTACCGTAAGTGAACATTAAAGTAAATTACCTTTTTAGCAGGGAAAATAAGGAAGGAAAAAATCTAAGAAAAAAAAGATAAATAAGAATCCTAGTTTCCAAGAGGTGGCAACGCTCATTTGCCCTCTCCCATATGTTAGTTAAAATCTAAACAAAATAGATGTAATTGTTCAAAAAGTCTGTCAATAAATGCAATTTATAACTCATTAAACAATTGGGGTTATATGAAGTTGAAAGTCACAACTCTAAATGAAGAGGTGTGAGTTGTGGGTGTGGATTTTAAAATAAGATAAATAATTAACGAAAGAAAAAGGTCAAAAAATTGAGGAAAAAGATAAATAGGATTCCTACACTATGGGAGGTACCACATCATCTTATCAAGTCCCTCTTTTATATATTTATATTTATATTATATAGATTTTCTGACCTTTCTTGTCCCTTAGTGGACATCCAATAAAACTTCAATAATAAAAAATGATGGTCATAGAATAGTTACGGTTGAAGAAACCGAAAAACTTGTTATATCCAGTACATATCTAAAATAATAAATTCACATGTGTCTCGTTCGTTTTACAGAAACTGTTAACCACTCAACCTTGGCAATCTAACAAATTTCGGATATAAGAATAAAACAGTAATAGCCAATATTCTCTTCTACCTTCCACTGTGCCCACAATAGACATGGAGGAGGGAAGAGGGAGGGATGTGGTGGAATGGATGTAATACTTTCACCCTTAATCGAAGATTTCGGGTTCTAGCCATGTGAATGGAAAAATTCCTAATAGGAAGCGCGCTCCTTCCCTTAAATTAGCCCTATGCAGCGCAAATCTGAATTAATCAGGTGGGTTCCACTATGCCTGATACCATATGGTTAAACCAAAAAAAGACATGGAGGGGAGAAAGATGGAAGAGAAAGCTCTACCATAAAAGCCACCCCTGGTTCTATTTCTGATTCAACAAACCCAGGCAAGAACATTAAGTAGGTGCTGCAGGTTAACAACAGGAGAATGAGGAATGAAAAGTTCTCGACAGACCAAGTTGCAACTTGGACTTTAGTTATTTTCTCCATAGAAAAGGGAAGATCAACTGAAGATTTAATGAATTTCCTCAAACCAACTGTTTACTCTTGAATCAAATAACAACTAAGGAGCACTGTGTTAAGCATCCAATTTAGTACACTGGCGAATGAACGAAATTTACTCTTTCATTGGCAGTTGAGTAACCTTATGGTTTGCACAAAGTTTGGAGGATTCATAAATGAGTATAATTGAAGAAAAGCACACTGACATCTCTCAAGTTGGATTGGAAGTATAGTAATACAAGAAAAGAAGGTGAAGATTCAACAACTCCCTTAAAAGTATGTTCTTTGGAATTAAGTAAAGGACAAAGACAAGAAGCTTATAATCTGCATTAATTAGGGAAGCATGATAAACTTGTATGCCTTTCTCAATGTGACAGGTCTTTCCGCGATATAAGTCAACGAAGTGTGAAGAAAGCTAACAAATATAAAGTAGCTAAGGCACAAGCAAAATAATAACCAGGTATGAGAGCAAGTATCAGTACAGTATCACAGATCCATGTGGACTAGAAGGACAAATTACAATTCAAATGGAACTGAAATAATCAAATCCCACCTACAGTTGATCCCAGCCATATCTATTGATTACAACAACTATAGCATTTATTCTCAACACGATACTAAAATTCAATTCATCAAGACAGCATTTACAACATTTGATGCAAAAGCGAAATATTCACTTTCACTCACCTTCAGATAGAAGTCATAAAGAAGCCCGAGGTCAGAAAACACAGCACCAACTCTCCAACCTCCATGTTTGAGATTCACGCATTGCTTTGGAAACATCAGAAAAAATGCAGTTACTGGGATATAAAGCAGATAGGATGTTTTACACATTACACAACCAGGCTTTTTATAAAATTGAATATATTTCTTTTGGACACTTAAAAGAGGCATCTCCAAAGGCATGCACATAGAGGAACTATCATGCATCAATGAAGCAGACGTAACCAAAAAAAAATGTTTAGAGCTTGACAGCAGGCTTTAATTCCAGAAAACAAAAGGTGAAGAAGAGAATTTTCCTACATTTTAATACGAATTTGATATTCATAGTTTAGCATCACATAAATCTGTATGAGGATCAATATCGAAAAAATGCCAACTCGAACCATGGAATGCTCGAAAAAAATCATCTGAAAAAGAGTCGATTGCATGCTCTTTTACGAACTGCCTGATTGCCAGGATATGCTTCCTAGAATCAGCAAGAGTAAGGTTTTTGCACACTGACAAGTGTTGCTCATATGCCTCAAAATTGTTCCCAAACAATACAACATTATTCAATAGATCGGGCCTCCAATTTGCCTCCAGAAGATTGTCATACAGTTCAGCTTCACAATGTGGCATGAAGAACATCATAGGTTTCATAGCTCGCCGTCGACCCTGTTCATTTACTGTTAGGACAGAACAGCCAAGAGCTTCCAGTACCTTAAATTCTGCCACAGAGATCACTGGATCAAATACCTCTACATCCCCAATCCAACTAAACATTCTTTTCATTAAGATTGCAAGACTAAGCTGTAATCGAGGAGGCTCATACAATTCTATGCTACCAATTCCATATATTACCATCGGCATCTTTCCTTCTGAGCACAGAGCTTTTAGAAACTGATCAAGTATTTCAGGGGTTTGTAACTGATCTGAAAATGTTAACCAGAAGGAGGAGCTCTCAAGTTTCTTTACGCAGTTTTGCATCTTCTGCATCAATTTAGATTCTCTCTCCGAACTGGTCTCAATATCCGCCGGAGTCCACACTTCCTCTTGCTTTTTCCGCTCGTGGATGATAACTTTATGAAAATTCCTTTTCTGTTTCCCACGACGAGGCAATACAACTGTCCAGCCTTCAGCTGGGTTAGGCTTGTCATGAGCTAGTGTCTTTGCTGATGCAGCCATTCCTCTCAAGCTGCTTGAGATGGAGCACACCAAGTATGTTTGTAATATGTATGTTAGTCAAGGACCTAAAGAAAAAATGAATTATTAGAGTGTGAATATGAGAATTCTGACATAACACTTCCAAGGACCTGTTACACGATCAAAAATCACTTTACTTGATTAATGACCTTTTATTCCGCAGACACACGAAAGATACAAGCTACCACTATTCATAAATTGTCATTGCAATAATCAGCCCTATAACATGATCATAATAAGTCCAGACGAGAAGAAAGATACAGAACATTAACAAAAACTTGATATCCATATGAGTTATCCTTAAGCATCTATTTAAGAATATATCTGTGCTTTGCTGAGAATAAAATAGCAATCATCCTCAGGGAACAGCACTTACAAGGCAGTTCTTCATTTAGGTTTAAGTCCGTCAAAAAGTTGCCTTGGACACATTAGGCTAGTGATGTTGCACCCAGTTTTTATACTTCTCTGCCCATGAAAAACGTTAGGAAAAAAAAAGGCTGCGCAATATTTTATCTTATGTTTAAATGCTGATGGTTGACCTCCCTTTTTTTGAGTAATTCATGAATAGAGAACAGACAAATAAGCAATAAACGCAAAATCTTAAATTGACATCCAAATAGAAAACCTAAGAAAATTTTAAGAGAAACATCTAAATTCTAAACAAGTAAACCTCAAAAGCATCCCCTACTACTCCCTCCATCCCAAAACACAATTTTTCCATAATTCCCAGACACTAATATTGGTTAAGCTAGAGAAATTTAAACACAAAATTTCAAATTGTATTCTAAGTTCTAACCTTCTCAAAGAACCTATATAATTAAAAAGTATATAAAGTAAATGTAAATTTCAATTCTAAATACTTTTTAAGATATAACCCTCTTAAAATACCCAATAAATTAAAAAATTACTATAACTACTACTACAAACTAGTATATGCTCTCATATATAAACACACACACACACACACACCCCGCGGTGTGTGTGTGTGTGTGGAAATGGAAGCAGAAGCAGTATATAACTAGGAAGTTGTGCTTCTTCACAACAAAAAATAGTGAGTTTTGATGATCGTTTAAGGGAATCAACAAGAAATATAAGAAATCAACGAAATATGAATTTTTTCAAAAAACGACCTGCAACAACAACAACAACAACCCAGTATAATCCCACTTATTGGGGTCTGGGGAGGGTAGTGTGTACGCAGACCTTACCCCTACCCTGGGGTAGAGAGGCTGTTTCCAAATAAAACCCCCGGCATCCTTCCCTCCAAGAATTCCCCACCTTGCTCTTTGGGGGACTCGAACTCACAACTTCTTGGTTGGAAGTGGAGGTTGCTTGCCATTAGAGCAACCCCTCTTGTCAATTTGGACCTGATAATTATTATTCTACAGAATACACTAGTAAAAGGACAACAATAACATTAGTTATCATTGAATCGAATCACTGAAATGATAAGCCCAAAAGGCTCCATATTTTTCATAGGAAAGTCAATTTCCCAAGTTAATCATCTAAGAGAAACAAAATAAACAAATGAATGTCGACAATTAGATAGGAATACAACAGATTTGCTAATCGGGGAAGAGAAAGCGTATGTATGCAGCTGAAAGAAATATATGAGAGAATTGAAATAATAAAGGGGAAGAACCTTACGATAGAAGCGCAAGAGAAAAAGGCTGTCTTTTTCCTAGCAAAAATCAAAAATCACACTTGCTCTTCTCCAATTCCACCATTTTCCCTAACCTATGTGAAATTGGGAAACAAAATCCCAAAGATAAGTATCAGTGATACAAGTGGAGCTCCACAAGAATCTCGAAGAGAAGTGTAGAAAATGTTTTTATTAATTAAACAAAAAACATCGGGTTACAGTTATGATTGAGAGAGTTGAAGTACGGCATAAAGCTCAATTAACCAACAGTGCGAAGATTTCAAATTTCACCTGGGTTTAGGGTTTTGTATGCAGAAATGGAGATAAATGAAAGTAGGATTTGCACCACGTAGCCGGTTTTAAAGAGAGTCCGGAACCTAAGGCCCCGTTTCCCAAAATAAATTTGAAATTTATTTTCAAAATCCATATTTGGCCATAAATTTTGCCCACATTTTGACCAAAACTCAAATCCCTTATTTCAAATCCCAAGCTGATTTTGGGCTAAAATATGACCATTATATTTTTTTAAAATTCTCAATATTACCTCAAACTTTTATATTTTATAAAAGAGCCCACATTTATTAAGCCCAACTAAACCATGTCTGCTCACTTGTCTCTCGTTAAACTCACGCATCTGCTTTGCCCTCATTAAACCCACGCATCTGTTTTGCCCTCTATAAACAGAAGAGAACTCCACCGCAAATTCTCTGTGCCAATCGATTGCAATCCACAGCAAATAAGAAATTGAAGGTAATTTGCTAAAATATGCTAATACAAGATAGCAAGTTTATTTGTTTGGTACTGTTGGGTATTTTTTATAGTTTTTAGAACTTGTGGATATAAGTTAATGTTTCATGTTTTTTCAAATAAAAAGTGAAATATGTTCTGAAAAAACATGTCGAAACACGTTTTCATCTTCAAACCAAACTTCACCCAAATCAGATTTTTCAAAATAAATTTGGGATATATGGCCAAACGCTAGCTAAATATTATCTTTTTGGACTCAAAATACATAAATAGGTTAAAAAACCTTAGTGGCCAAAATATACAAAATGCAGTTTTGAACCACGTTTTACCTTATTGGCCATTTGGGACGTTAAGGTAAAACGCGTTTCAATACTGTGTTTTATATAAAACGTCTTTTAATACCACGTTTTACCTGTTTTGTAAGCCCACCAATAACTATTCTGCCTTAACTGACATAACAGTAATTCAAATATGTAAAACGCGATTTACTTGCAAAAATTTGACCCCCCGGATTAGGCATTGCCTTATTTAAAGGTGTTAAGGGTTTTGCAAAAATTCGTTCAGAAACAAGTTTCAACTCCTGATAAATTTTCTTTTGTTAAATTCTCAAGCTTTTTTTCATAATGTCTGATGAGCGAAAAGTAAGGGTTTTATTATATTGGAGGGCGAGGTTGTGGTGGCGAATAACTCAGTGAGCTATAGTTTATCTCCATAGAGTCATATGTTAAGTTGCCATTTACAATGGAGTACGATAGACTGGTATCGTTGTTATACAATAAAATGAGGTTGAGCAAATGTTCGGTGAATCTTAAAATAACCGGAAGATATCCGTATTTTGTGACTCCGCAAAGTATTGCTTGTCACGCTGAGTTTAACATCGAGGATGATTTCTAAGAGATTTTTTGGGGACTCCGAATAAATACCGGAACTTATTTTGATAAAAATGTTGGAAATGTACGTGAAGGTTGAAGACGTTCGCAATAATGATGTTGCACAAAGCAGGGATAACCCTCAATCATTGAGTGGTTATTCTAGAGCAGTTTTAGCCTAACAGGTTCCGGCTGAAAGAGTTTGGCCGGATCTAAACTTATCTCCATGGGCGAACAAGGAGCGAGGAAATAATTTCTCCCCTACTTTACATAATCCACAAGACGACTGATAAACTTCAATTTTCCTTTGTGTTACGATGTTTATTTTTGTCATATTGAATTTGTATTAACACTCATATATTCCATAGGGGTACCGTCCAGATATGAATTTTACAAGTTATGAACCCGCGCCTAGTTGGAATATGCGTAGTTTTGGTGTGTTGGATCACGGTGGTCCATTCGGGAGTCATCACCAAGAAGATAATGTCCATCATGGAACGTCAACACATTACGACTTGTAAGTGAAGTGATATAGCTATATGTAAAACATTTATCAATTTCAGTAGCTTATTATTTTGTTGTTTGTGCAGTGATAACGAGTAATATGATGGTCCTGTCCTCACTCAGTTGCCCGTAAATGACGTATTTACTTGGGATTTGGCAGATGCGCAGAGTCAAGAAGATAATAGTGATTATGACAACAATGTCGACGAGTCTGGAGATGACACACCCTTCCCTGACGAGGATGATGATGAGGAGGAAGAGAATGTCGAACCTGAGCTGACGAGGGAGCATGCTCCACCTCCCGTTAGACCAAGAGTGTATGATTCCCACATGTCGTTTCATTCAAGGCATATTCCCTACCTTGATAATTTGCCAAGTATGCCGGATATGGATGCCCTCACAAGGGATCTTGACAAAATTCAGACAGCAATGTGGGATGAGTCTAGACCAATGGTGCTGGCAAAGGGCATGGTTTTTCCCGATAAAGCTTGCCTAACCAGGGCTGCAAAAATGTACAACGTAAGAGAGTGTCGTAAAATGGTGGTATGGGAGTCAAGTCCCGATGTATACAAGGTTGTTTGCCGTAGATGGTTTACGGATTGTCATTGGATGTTGCGTGCGAGCAAGAAAAAAAGGGTTGTGGAAAGTGGGTAAATATATTGGCACCCACAATTATGAAAAGGACACATTCAATGGGAATCACTTCAACTTGGATGTTGACTTGATTTCTCTTCAACTGATTCCACACATTGAAACGTCCATTAGGTACAAGATCAAAGAGTATATTACATCTGTCCACCAGGAATATGAGTGTACTATTACCAAAATAAAGGCATATCTCGAGTGCAAACGTGCATTTGAAATTGTTTATGGTGACTGGGATAAGTCATTTGCATCTCTACCTAGGTATATAACCGCATTGAAACACTTTAACTTCGGGACTGTTGTTGAATGGAAGCTTGAGAAGAGTGCAGGAAGACCGAAATATATATTCAGATGCGTGTTCTGGGCATTTAAACTAGCAATTGATGGTTTTGTGCATTGTCGTCCGGTAAATTCCATAAACGGTACTCATGTCTATGGAAGGTATGATATTAAGTTGTTGATCGTCGTTGCAGTATATGCCAATGGACAAATATTTCCACTAGCCTTTGCCATCTGTGCCAATGAAAGCCAAGAGACGTGGACGCTATTTTTAAACCACTTGAAGCAGCATGTTGTCAAACAACGTTCAGGTATTTGTCTAATATTTGATCGGCATGGTGGTATATTAAGTTCTGTAGAGCATTTTCCTGAATGGCAGGAATCCTATGCATACCACTGTTACTGTGTGAAGCACATGAAGGCCAATTTCGAGAAGAAATATCCCAACAAGGACTTGCATGATTTAATGTGGGTGGCTGCAACTGATCACCAGCAGTGCAAATTCAGGAGGCGCATGGAATCGATCTGGCAGTTAGACGAAAGAGCCTATCATTTGTTGATGCGACATGAGCTTCACAAGTGGACATTGCATGCGGATAGTGGCTGGCGATGGGGAACCCTGACTACAAATGTGTCGGAGTCTTTCAATGTGTTATTGAAGTCTGCACGTGGATTGCCTGTCACTGCCATGGTCCGGATGCCATTCAAACAGATGGCGGAGAGGTTTGTTGAAAGGCATAGAGGTGTATCAGAATTGATGGACATGGGTGTTGAATTTATGCCAACACCAATTTGAAGATTTGAGAAATACAGGAGGCGAGCACATTGGCATTCATTTTACAGTATGATCACGACCGGGGTGTTTTTGAAGTTTGCACCGCTATCCATCAACACCGGGGGAATAATGTACACACTATAAATGAAGCTAGCAGGTTGTGTTCTTGTGGGAAAATGGTCCATCTACGATATGCCGTGCTTACATGCCATCAAGTGCTTTCAACATACATGTTTAGGGCCAACCAACTATGTTGATAGGCAATACAGTGTTGATGCATACTTAAACACATATAGTGGGCAGTTGCCAGTGGGTGCTGAGTATTATTGGCCGCCTGGAACCATTTAAAATGGTGTGTAACAAAGACTATTTACGTAAGCTACAAGTGCAAAAAAGAAAGCGTATAAAGAACCAAATGGATATTGGTGATATCGGTTATGCGCGTAAATGTGGCATATGCTCGCAAACAAGTTACGACCGTCATAAATGTCCTTCAACTGGTTTGGGTAGGCGTGGTAATCCATCTCCTGGTGTAAGTTCATCTAATGTGCCCAACTATCAAGGATACACGTAGTGTTTTGTTTTCGTAATATTTTTTGTAATAAGTGTATGTACTTGTTTATGTTGCAAGATGTATCAAATAAAATTATGTTTCCATTGTTGTTAAATCTTATTGATATTTAACATTTTTCAATTGAGTAAATTATTGAATTTTCCCTCCCATTCATGTAATCAAAAATAGTATTGGATTAAAAAATAGAATTTTTTTACGTTCACTTTCGAGTTTCACTCTAAAATTATTAGAAAACTACATTGTCAGAGGAGGAAGATGTTTGATAAATAAGTGAATATATATAATGCGGTTAAATACTACGTTATGTGTGTTGTCTTGTCGATCTGAAAAGTTGCCCGACTGAGAAAAAGTTGTTTTGTATCAAAAAAAATCTTTAACATGTGAAGCATAGCGCGGTTAAATACTACGTTTTGTGTGAATATATATAGCACGGTTAAATACTACGTTATGTGTATTGTCTTGTCGATTTGAAAAGCTGCCTGACTACGAAAAAGTTATTTTGTATCCGAAAGAATCTTTAACACGCGAAGTATAGCGCGGTTAAATGCTATGTTATGTGTTAGCATAGCGCGGTTAAATATTACGTTATGTGTGTTTCCTTGCCTATAAATAACGGGCGCATTCTAGTCATTTTCTGTGCTTAACCATAACAAATAGCAAAACTTTCCATACAAGCAAGATTTTTTTTCGCTTTAACAAATGTTTGAACGCATGTATGTGCCAATATGGCAAACGATGTATGATGGCAGACTGTTGGGATGATGGTCAAGTTGGGCACAGATACTGGATGTGTGTGAACAGGTTTGGAGGTAACAACGGAAATTTTTGCAATTTTGAGGCATGGCTTGATGAACCATGTGAGCAGGAATGCTACAAATGATCTTTGCAGTATCTTCATGATTTGACCAAAAAAAGTGGGAATATAAATGAGAATATAAACGAG